GGAGTGCTTCAGGGCTGTACCCTTTCTCCTTACCTGTTCAGTCTGTGTGCTGAGCAAATAATCTGAGAAGCTGGACTATATGAAGAAGAACATGGCATCAAGATTGGAGGAAGACTCATTAACATCCTGTGATACGCAGGTGATGCAACCTTGCTTGCTGAAAGTGAAGATAACTTGAGGCACTTATGGATGAAGATCAAAGACTATAGTCTTCAGTATGGATTACATCTCAACATAAAGAAAACAGAAATCCTCACAACTGGGCCAATAAGCAATATCCTGATAAATGGAGAAAAGATTGCAGTTGTCAGGGATTTAATGTACTTGGCTCCACAGTCAACACCCATGCAAGCAGCAGTCAAGGAATGAGACATCGTATTGCACGGGGTGAATCTGCTGCAAGATTTAAAGTGTTAAGGAGAAAAGATACCCAAGCCGCGGTATTTTCAATCACTTCATATGCATGTGAAATGTGAACGACGAATAAGGAAGACCAAGGAAGAGAGTTGATGCTTTTGAGTTGTGTTGATGGAGGATACTGACAGTACCGGGGACTGCCAGAAGCAGGAACAGATCTTCTGCTGGAATGCTCCTGGGAAGTGAGACTGGCCAGACTTCGTCTCACCTACTTGGGAGATGTTGTCAGAAGGGACCATGCCCTGGAGAAGGATGTCATGCCTGGTAAGGTGGAGGGTCAGTGAAAAAGGGGAAGGCCCTCAACAAGATGGATTGACACAGTGGCTGCACCGATGGGCTCAGGCATAGCTAGGATTGTGAGGTTGGCGCAGGACCAAGGCAGTCTTTCGTTCTATTGTGCGTGGGGTTGCTATGAGTCAGAGCCGACTCAACGGCACCTAACAGCACCAGTGCCCCACATCGCTCTGCTAAGTGCAGTAGAAGGTTGTTAAACACCACCAAGGTGGAGATGCAGTGAATGCTGTTGCTCGTGATTTAGGCAGGTCCTTACAGTGTCCAAAGCACATGACGTCCTAGTTCACAGAATGAATTGTTGGCATTAAGCAGGGTGTGACTGTTTGGTATTTTATTTTAAAATAGGAGTGTAAGATGAATTACTTTTTAGTCTGTTGTCTTTAATACTGTTAATATTTAATTTTAATACAATTTTAACAGAAACTGAATAACTACCCCCTGTTGTAATCTAGGTTGTTTTTTTTTTTTCCTCTTAAAATTTTGCTGCAGTGGATATCATGGTACTTGCCTTTGTGCATCACTGGTATAAATTTCTTTAAATGCAGTTACTCGATCAAAGGTTATGTGCTGTATTTCGCTAATTGTTTCAATGATGTTTTGAGGAATAAATGTACAAAGTACAAAATGTGAAAGCATAAAAGGGTGTATCGTGACAAGTTTTCCTTCCTTCCCTGTCCCCTTGCCACCACATTCTCCCCAGTGACAACCACTATTACTCTAGAGGGAATGACTTATCAGAGTGCTAAGTATCAAAATGTACTGTGAGATAAAATAACTTCCATTAAACCTCCGTCAACTTACGCTGCCCCCATTCCTAAACTTCCCAATATTGGTAATTGGCTTACCTGTTCATCTCTGCTGTCCAACAGGCAAAAATACCATCTCATTCTTTGACCTTGCGCTCGTAATTTCTAGGTGATGACGTGCTTTTTTTTTTTTTTTTTTTCTTTCCATGCTTATTGGACTTAAAAAATAAGCACAAAGTGAGTGTTGTTATGATGCCCATTTTCAGATTGGAGGGCAGACTAAGCTGCTCAAGGCCCCAAAGCTATTGGTGAATCAGGGCAGAGGGAGGGTCCAAGTCCACGTTCATCTGCCTCCAAAGCTCCGGTTGCCTTTTGTGAATGTTTGTTATTAATGTATTTTCTTCTTCCGATCAGATAAGGAAAAGATCCCCTTGCACAGGCAGTAAGACACCTCTCCTTGTGGCATGGGATTCAGTAAGTAATGCTTTCCTTTTCCTTGGGGCCCTTTCTGTAAGAAGTCTCCCACATCCAATTGCAGAGGCACAGCTCGATGAAAATGTCTCTGTTTGTACGGTAGGTGGAAGAAATTGTTCGTGATGGGATTGTGAGGAACCGGCAGGCTTTTTACAACATGCTGCGGACCTGTGACCTTGAAGACACTGGCTTCATTAGTCGGATTAATTTCAAGAAAATTATGCGCACATTCTGCCCAGTCTTAACGGGTGAACATTTGATAAAGTAAGTTCTTTTTGGTAATACAGTTCATTCCTGTCGTATTTTTCATCAAGGGTGCTTAATAATTCTAAACGTTTTCTTCTGGATGTCTTAATATTAATACGGAATATTGCTAATAGCAATACTGTATGATCTGGTTCTCACCACAGCCGTGCAGTATGTTGTGGTGGTTTAGTTGACACTGAGTCAATCCTGAGTTCCTAGGTTGTGCAACAGTTAAGTGCTCGGCTGCTAGCAAAGACAAGGGAAACATCAGTGAGATGAACTGACCTCACGGCCCCAGTGTGGACTTAAACACGCCAGCAACCATGAAGGTGACGCAGGACTAGGCCACATTGCGTTCTATTAGATATGAAGTCACCACGGGTCACAGAGGACTCAGCGGCATCTAACAGCAGCTGCCGCAGCAGACACCATGGGAGGCAAAACGGAAAAATGACTCAGGCCGTGGGTTTGGTGTCCTCCAGATGCAGACTGGGGTCCCAGCTCCGCTGTTCACTAGCGGTGTGACTTTGAGTAGATACTTGACTTCTCCTGGCCTCAATCTCTTCTTCCCTAACAAGGAAGAATGATGGGAGGTGACGTCAGCCACCACAGTATGACAAACCGACAGCTGGGTGGTGGGTAGCTCCACCAGGAGTGAATAATATCATGGAAACGCGTGGAGATTCAAGGTATGTCTTGGAGTGGATGTCTGGAGTTGCTGGTGGCCTGGATCGGGCTCAGACTGAGCTGGTGAGAAGCTGGGAAGGAGCCGAGGTGGCTTCTGCTTGAGCAACTGGCTCCTCAGGGTTGCCGTCCGAAGCAGGAGACTGGGGAGGAACAGCCTCAGGAGTGAAACCCAGGAGATCTGTTTCCGACACGTTAACAGGGAAGTGACGCTCGGGACATAGTGCCACCCGGTGGTGGGGCACTCTCCACCCTTCCCCATCCCAGCCCCTGTGGGCCAGCTCTACCCTGTCACCGGCTTGCTTTGTCAATGTTGTGATCATTTACCATTTATGTTTATTACCTGTGTCACCCACCAAGGATGTAAAGGCAGGGACTTGGTCGTTCCCCTTGTAAAGCTCCAGTGCTTGGCATGTGTTCAGGGCTGCACAGGTGTTGGTGAACGAATGAATGGAGCCGAGGGAAAGAGGTGTGCAGGCCCTGGGGTGTTGGAGACTGAAGCCTCTCCAATCCACTCCCTTTGATGTGCTCAGACTGTATCTGTCTCAGCTGCAAATCTGATCATGTTCAGACCCTGCCAAAAAAAGGAGCCCCAGTGGCATAATGGTTAAGTGCTTGTCTGCAAACCAAAGGGTGAGGTTTGAGTCCACTAGCCGCTTCCTGGAAGAAAAGAGCTGGCAGTCCGCTCCCACAAAGATCCCAGCCTAAGCAACCCGATGGGGCAGCTACTTCTACGCTGTCCTGTAGGGTCACTGTGGGCAGAATCGACTCGACCACACACAGCAACAGCAACAGCAACAGTGGAGCCCGGAAATTACAACACGTGTGGCTGAAGTCAGGAGCCCACCGGAAGTGCGGGGAAGAAACAGAATGAAGCCCTGAAAAGCCACCAACTCACACGCTAAATCCAAACCTTAGAAAATTCCAGAGAGTACACCCAAGCACATGTTCCGTGGCTGGCTGTCAGAGTGATGATGTCTGCGCACATCACATGGCTTCTGGGAAAGTCCACTGGGCACACGTGAGGGAATCAGAGCCTAAAAGGTGAGTATCAGGGCCGGTTGCCGTGGAGTTGACTCTGAGCCCATGCGACCCCGTGCTGTCAGAGGGCCGGGCCCCACAGGGTTTTCAGTGGCTGGTCTTTCACAGGTAGATCACCAGCCTTTCCTCTGACATGCCTCTGGATGGCTTTGAACCACCAACCTTTATGTTAGCAGCTGAGTACTTAGTGGCTTAGTGGTTTGTGCCACTCAGGGACTCCAGAGGCACACACATCTTAGTGCTGAGAGGAAATAGTTTTGGCTTCACTGATGCCCTGAAAGTGTCCTCAGGGCACTCGCCATGGTCACTGCTTCAGCCACATGATCATGACGTCGTGCAGCTGGTACTAGAACCCTGGTGGGCCGATTCCAGGGCTGGACCACAACTATCGCCCTCTGTGACCTTGCTAATGTTGAGGAGGGTGTGGATTTTTGTTTGGTTCTCAGGCTCTTGTCTATACCAAGTTTGTTACAATTAGCACATACAACTTGTAACCTGTAATTGAAAAAAATTAACGAACAAAATGTTAAAAAGGAGGAGAAGGAAATCCCGGTCTTTCTTTAAGGTTAGGCTCACTGTACTGGCACGTTCGTGGCATCTGTGTTTTCTGAAACGTTTGCACATACGTAGTGCCTAAGGCGCTTGACTGCTAACTTGACTGACCCACCAGCCACTCCTCGGAAGGAAGGTTGGGCAGTCTACTTCCGTAGTAATACTGCCTCAGAAACCCAGGGAGGGGTCGCTGTGAGTCGGGTCCAACTCAACGGCACATAACAACAGCAGAGTCCCAGTGCCATAATTCCATGCCAGAGTTCCTAAGGAGAAAGTGTCTGATAAGCCACCTCTTCACCGAGGTGTAGCTGACAGTGAGCTTCACACATTAAAATCACACAATTGGATGACATCTATCAATGTTTTCACCCAAAACCACCAGACAGCAGACACTTCATGCTCCCAAATAGTGGATACTTGCCTCCACCCCAAGCTCCATCTCTGCTTTTGCATCCCATTCCCCACCCTACCCCCACATGACCCCGACCTGCTGGCACTGTGGGTTGCTTTGCATTTCTGAGGGTTTTGCAATAAACGGAGGTATGTAAGATGTTCCTTTTCTGCTCAGGGTTTTGAAGTTCATCCACGTGTTAAACGCATCGACAGCTCGTCCTTTGTCTTTGCCGAGCACCGTTCCATGTATGGGTTTGCCACAGTTTGCGTACCTGTCCCTCCCCTGACGGACATTTGGTCTGTTTCCAGTTTTCCTGGCAGTTACAAGTAGAACTTCTCTCTGTATGTGTGCAGGGCTTTGTATAGAGGCACAGTTCCATTGCACGTAGGTGAATGAGCAGGAGTGCAGTGACTGGCTCCGATGGGAAGTCTGTTCAATGCCAGACTGTCTTCCAAAGCGGTCGTACCGTTCTACGCTCCCACCAGCAGTGGATGAGCGCTCCTGTTACCCTCCTCCTCACCAACCCTCGGCCAGGTCAGTCTTTGTCATTTTAGCCATTCTAATGGGTGTCTTTGAATTATTTCCAAACTTCAGACTCTGCAGTAAGTTCCAGGATACTGCTTCCGGACGAATCCTCTACAAGAAGCTCTTGGCCAGCATAGGAATGAGTGGCTCAGCCCCTACCTCTCCGAGAGTTACTCCAGTGGATCAGCCGTTAAGTGCGCATGCCCCAAAAGAGGAGCAGAGGTAAGCTAAGCCCAGCGGAGCTCCTGTTGGCTTCACAGTGCCGGTCCTGGGATGGGTATCGAGTCAATATTTGTTGACCAAATGAGCGTTTTAATATTTTATCATTTAAATAGAAAGATGGCACACTATAAATAGAGTGATTGGACTGGTGGAATATTAGAGCAAGGAGAGATCTTAGGAATTCTTAAGTTCACATAGTAACTTTAGGAGTGAAAGTGCTCACGCCTGAGAGATTCAGGGACGAACTAAGGTCATTCACTAACTCAGTGCTCCGCCTGGGCTGAGACGCCAGGGCTCCTAACTCCCAGAGAATCTGTTTGCAGCGGAACTGTTATATACCTGAATTCACACTTACTCTCTTCCAGAATCTCAGATCTCTTAACTGCCTTTTAATATTTATTGTAACATACAGCCATTAAACTGGTTCCTGTTCTCTGATGTGGATGATAGACTTATTAAAATGATGGCCAAATTAAATTGTAACAATAAAACACATTCAGTAGGTCTTTAGAAAATCAGGCTAATGAATATTCGAGCTCTTATTCCTTTTGGAAAATACAGGTTTAGTCTAATGAAAAGATATTATGTTAACTTGCTTGTGGATAGCTTATAATAAATCCATAAGAACATGTAAAATGTTCAACTATTCAGCCGATTTCGCTCTGTCACATCCCTCTTAAAAGGCTCTTAACTATGGAGCAGCGAGAATATTTCATTGATAGGTTGATGAAATTTGAACACCGGGGCATTTCAGCACTAGCTGCTTTATGAATGGGCAGGAAGGTGGTATTTTAGAGAAAG